ATAATCCCAATTATTTCATTCTAAACATAAGAATAAATATTAGTTAGTAACAATTTAGAAATGAAACAAATTAAAATAAAATACATCATTACTCTTAATGCATTTCTCAGATCCTTGTTCATGTCTTCGTAAAAAAGATATGAAGAGTTAGGTGAATGGAGACGTGAAGAGGAAGATGATCTATTGGGCTTGTTTTGGCCTCGATTAAAACAATTTTTTCTAGATTTAGAACATTGCTCTCTTTGTTGTGATATTTCTAATTGTTTAGGAATAGACTTCTTTGTGGCTGTCATCTTATTTTTTCTCATCCGGCTTCTACTTTTTCTATTATTTCTTCTATTATCATATCGGCTTCTACTTCTGCTATTGTATCGGCTTCTACTTTTGCTATCACATCGGCTTCTACTTCTGCTATCGTATCAGCTTTTACTTCTTCCATTATCATCCCGTTCAGAAGCAGAATCTAAAAGAATTATTTTTGACTTTCCAATGCTTTTAGATACCTTTTTAGACGATTCTATACTCTTTGAAGAACCTGCCCATCCATATTCAACATTTTTTAAAGGACTGGCCTGTTCTTCTGAATTATCCTCAAGATTTATGTTAAATTCATTTTGCTTTCCTAATACCTTCATAAGAATATCTTGTATACTATCTAACTGCGCCTATAAAGCGGTTACTAAATTAAAAAATTCCTTATTGAGAAATAATCGCAAATCAATTGATATGAAATAACAATGCATATATATAATGTATATATAAATAAGTATGCCTCGATCGTCTTTATCTGTATCTTGGGTCACTATGTCAATCAAATTAGGAATTTGTCTCTTTCGGTATTTTCAATTATCTTCATGAACTCCTTTTGGTTTAGGATCGCTAGATATCAATAAATAGCAAATTAAAATATTAGTTGAAGACCATACCGATTTAAAACTAAACTTACTGTTTGTTGCTACTTTTTTGCTTTTCAAAGGCAATTTTATTATGTTTCATTTGTCTATTTTCACATCTTGTTTGTTTATCATTGTCAGAAAGAGGACGTTTAATAGATTTCTTGCTGTTTATTATTGATTTCTTACTACTGGTCATATTAATATTCGCAAACTGGAGAAGTTTAACAAAAAAAAATTATAAAACATAGAACGCATGATTCTTTTATATGTTTTGTACAGATAAACTTTCTGATAGTTTGTAAATGAATTTTAACGAAAAAAATTCTAAAATATAGAATGCGTGATATTTTTACATTTTGTATATATAAACTTTTTGATAGTTTGTATTTTAAAAAGAAAGTAAATAAATTACTGAAAAATTTTATACATTTAATAACATACACATTTTATTTGTTAAAAATGCCAAGATAAAAGAAAACACGCATTAATAAAGATCATTTGAAAGTTACTAATATTAAACCTAAAACTAGAAATTTAATTGAGTGTAAATGCTTATTGCATTGTAATAGTAGTAAGTAGGTGGATCCTAGAACATTTGAGAGACACAAGAAAGAAATGGAACAGCTTCGAGTCATTACTTCTGGATCTCAGAGTTCTCAATCAACAAATTCTAGAAGCAAACAAACTGATAAATATAGAGTCACCATCGATTAAAGAAAGAGAAAAAAAAATAGTGGTTGAAGCGGTTGAAGAAGATCGAAATTCACTAAATAATTCTTTCAGTAATAGTGAATCAATTTCAAGTAATAACGAATCAATCATACTAAAGAAACGAAAATGCTATAATAAGTTTCGTGATGTAATTTTTGATGGTCAATATGATGAATCAGAACAAGTTCCAATAGAAGAAAGTTCTGATGAAGAATGTTTTGAGATACCACCAGGTGATGAAGAAAGTTTTTCTACTAATGATGATGTTCGAGATTAAGCGAAGATGATCTTTCGTTCAAGCAATTTACCGTTCCTGATCTGGATGATCTTGAATTTGAACTAGATCACGAATATCCTGGTACTAACATTAACTTTGATGATTCATGAATACTATTGTAGATATTCAAATATCAAGCAAGATTTCGCCTTTCGGATGTTGCCATCGATTCACTTATTAAATTTTTTAGGATGGTTTTATTGGATGTTAATCAACTGCAATTTGAAAAATTTCCTACAAGTTCATATATGGCAAAAAAATTTTTAGGAATTGGCAAACAAGAAGTGACATTTGCTGTGTGTTCAAGCTATAATACGTTATATAAAGTTACAGAAATTTTGTCTACTGGGCATAAATACACGCATGTGGAATACCTAAATCATCCAATGCGCAATCAAAAACGACCCTGTAGAACAGAATTAACAAATAAGATTCTGGTAAATAATGGATTTGTCAGAAGACCGAAGATGTTATTCCCTATACCATCTTTAAAAATGCAAATAATGACGATGTATCAGCGCTCAGGTTTCAAAGAATTACTACATAAATAGACAAATCAGATTACCGAAATGGGTTTATTTGCAAATATTTATGATGGAGAAGTATGGAAAACCTTTTCATTATCTATTGATAATCCAGATTCTCGATTTTTCTAACATAAAACCGCCAATTCGCATCTCGGGATTATGTTGAACCTTGACTGATTTCAGCCATTTGAATCTTCGCCTTACAGTTCAGGTGTTATCTATGGAGTAATATGTAACCTTCCCTGTGAAGTTAGATTTAAACGGGAAAATATGATATACCTTAGGCTCTTACCGGGACCAGACGAAGTAAAACTTCATAAAATTAATCATTATCTTAATCCAATTATTAATGAATTGTTAGAGTTCTGGAATGGGATAGATTTGCCTCAAACCAACGCGTATCTAATGGAAAAAAGAATCTGAATAGCAGTAATTTGCTGCTCAAATGATATTCCAGCTGCAAGAAAGTTATGCGGCCACATTTCGGCATTGATCAGTTGTCATCGATGCTACAAAATAGCCAATACTGAAGGAAAGCTCAACTTCGATAAATTTGATGATATGAACGATTGGTTCATCCAAAAAGATTTGGATGAACATAGACGGAATGCTGAAGAATGGAGGCATTGTAAATCAAAAGATGAAAGGAAGCGTCATGTTTTTACAAAATTTGTTCAATGGTCTGAAATGCTAAGATTGCCTTACTTTAATCCAATAAGGCACTTAGTAGTTGACTATATGCACTGCTTCTTCTTGAGAATAGCACGTTGGATAGTAAAGAGATTGTGGATTGATGGTGGCAAATTAAGTAAAGCTGATCTTAAAAGAATGGAGAAACGTGCAAAAACTATAAAGGTTCCTGTTGATTTAGGCTGAATTCTGTATAAAATGGCAACAGGTGAAGGGTTTTTCAGATTTACAGCCGATCAATAGAAAACTTTTATTCTGATGTATGCAACTCCGTTAATGTGAGATCTTTTGGATATTTCTGATCAGAAAATTCTAGCCAATTTTGTTAGAGCTTGTTCATTGCTCGTATGTCAAATAATTGATGATAACGTATTGAATGAAGCTCATTTTCGACTATTATCTGTGACCGTTTAATTGAAGAGAATTATGGACTAGAGGTGATAACACCAAATATTCACCTTTCACTCCATCTTGCAGAATGCTGCTGGGACTATGGTCCTTTATACTCATTTTGGTGCTATTCATTCGAAAGGATGAATGAAGTTCTAGGTAAGATTTTACATTATTATTATCAAGCAATAAAAAATAAATAAAGTATTATACTTTCTTGTTTAGGTTCTCTTTCGAATAGTAATTGACAAATTGAGTCAGAATTGCTGCGAATCATTATACAAAATTGTCGTTTAGATGATTTAATAACCTCAAGATTGGATAATGAAAAATTAATTAATGCATTATCATTAATTCAACCTTGGTCGATAACCGGGAGCTTAACATCTTATGATGGGTTTGATTCTGCTGAACTCTACCAGTTCATGCAAATGTTCTATCAAAAGGTTGATGAGACTATTATTGGTAATGAAAAATTTCCTGGAGAAATGCTTGCTCTAAAAAAAAGTAAGGTATCATTACCAGATAATATATATAAACTTCTGGTAAAATATTACAATGATTCATACAATTGGGATTTCATATTAATTGCTGAATTTGATCTATCAAATGAACAAATTGTTGTATTACCAACCATTAATCAATTTGGCTGTGTTCGGATTGCTGCTGAAATATTTGGATCTACGCTTGCATCTAAATATTAAAGAAGTTCAAATATTTTAGCTAAATTTATACAAGATAATGAAACTATTGACACTTATCCTGGTCAAGTACAGTTTTATTTTGAGCATACCATTCAGCTTCCAATTGGTACCAAAATACATTGACTTGCATTTGTTAAATGGCACTTGTTTGCACCAAATCAGCAAACAAGATTTTATTATAGAATTGACAATCATGATGACAGAAGCTATAATATTGAATTATGGAAGTATGACTTTTATGAATTGTCAAGAGATGCTATTATGCCAATTCATAATATATATAGCTGATTTTTATTCTGTAAATCTATAATAGGTGCTCGAAATCCAACTACTTACATGGCAGTTATTCCGATTAATAGACAGTTTCATTTATAATAATAAATAAATTAATCGTGATAATTTACAAATAAATTAAAATCTTT